TCTTTTTTTTTTTTTTTTCTTTTTGAGACAGGGTCTCCCTGTAGCCCCAGCTGGCCTGGAACTCAGTATGTAAACCAGGCTGGCCTTGAACTCACAGAGACCCACCTGCCTCTGCCTGCTGGCCTGGAACTCAGTATGTAGACCAGAATAGCTTTGAACTCAGAGATCCAGCTGCCTCTGCCTCCTGAGTGCTGGGTTTAAAGGCATGCACCACCATACCCAGCCTCAAAATAGGACTTTTTAAGGCTGTTTTGTAATGAGATAATGAATATTCATGTTTAAATGGTTTTATAATGAATATGCATGCATTTAGAGGAGTGCTTTGCATATAATGAACAATAAATGGAATCTCTGTCGAGCCAGAAAGCCTTGTTCACTGGTACCACCCACCAACTTCCTTTCTGTGGTTCCCTCCAGGGGGCAGCACCGAGATGGTCAAAACCCCATTAGACCTTCTACACAATTCAGCCCCCAGTGTCTTCCCTGCCTGGTGCTGGAAGCCTACCTGTGTCTTTCATCTTGGAAGTCATTTCTACCACAGTAGTGACTTTCTCCTCCTTGGGGGCATGGATCACCATCACTGTGCTGCCAGCCACACAGATGGCGCAGCCCAGCTTCCCCAGCAGGTTCAGGCTTTCTCCCAGGCAGTATGAGGAGAAGATGGCACTGCACAGGAGGATGGGAGAAAGCAATTGAGATAAGCATGCTTGTCCTATTCTTCCAAAGACACATGGGGGCTGAGCAAGAACTCACTCTACTCTGTGTGGAAGCCTTTCTAGAACCTAGAACCGTATCCCCAGCATTCAAAAACAGAAATGCATTTCTATGGGGTTGTGATGTGGCTGGAGGCATACAAATATGTGCAGATTTCTTTCATTTTTGAGATGGAAATCATCCCCAAACCAAAGTGCAGAAAGAGCTCTTTGAACTACTCTCCTCTGACTTCTAACTGGCTGAACATATTGGCTGTTGGTGTTGCTAGGAGCCATTTTTCAGCCATGGCTTGTGATACCTCTGGCTTCAGGGAGCTCACCCCTTTACAAGCCAGATGAGCCCATTGGCAGTTCATTCTACGTATTCACCCAAAATAGCACCTTCTGGTAATTTCTACTTCCTGCCCCATTTCTGGTCCTTGGGTCATAGAGATCAAATCTATTCTTTCTTTCATGTGTTTATGCCTATACAAATAACCACAGTGATGATTATAGATACTGTGTCTTGGGGTTTGTGATTCCCTACTAGGTCCTGGGCCAGGAACCTCCATTTATTATCTTGTTAACATCTAACAACTCTGGGAAGTTAAATCTACTGTTCCCATTTTATAGATGAGAAAACTGGGCCCATAAAACTCAAAAATCTCAACAAAATCATTTTACTGGTAAGTGGCAGGGCAGGGTTTGAGCTCAAGGTTGATTTTATAAAGCTAATGGGTTTTCTTCCACATCTCATTAAAGAGAAGGTCACTTCCCTGAGTCTTCATTTACTGGGCAAGAGTTCTCTAGTTCCTTATATGAATCCTATTTCCTTCTGAGCCCCTAGGTAGGGAGCTGGGCAAGCTGGGGGTAAGCACTGAGCAAGCTTCTCTTAGTATTGGTAAAAAATCTGTTGACTGCCCTGAAACACATTTAGCTTCAAAATCTTGGCCAATGGACTGGAGAGATGGCTCAGCAGTTAAGAGCACTGTCTACTCTTGCAGAAGACCAGGGTTCAGTTCCCAGAGCCCACATGGCAGTTAACAACTGCAGGTAACTCCAGTTCCAGGGCATCTGATACCCTTTTTGGGCCTCTGCACGTATTGCACACACACATATACTTAACAAACACGTAGGCAAAACACACATACACATAAAAATAAAAAATAAGGACTGTAGAGATAGCTCAACAGTTAAGAGCACTGGCTGTTCTTGCAGAAGCACAAGTTTGAATCCCAGCACCCACATAGTGGCTAACAACCGCCCATAACTCCAGCTCCAGGGAATTAGATGTCTTCTTCTGTCTTCCTTGGGCATTGCATGACATGGGTGCACTTACATACATTCAGGCAATACAAGCATACACATAAAATAAAAATAAAAAAAATAATTTTTTTTTTTTTTTTAGTCTTTTTGAGACAGGGTCTCCCTGTAGCCCCAGCTGTCCTGGAACTCACTATGTAGACCAGGCTGGCCTTGATCTCACAGAGATCCGCCTGCCTCTGCCTTCTGAGTGCTGGGATTAAAGGCATGCGCCACCACGCCCAGCTAAAAATAAAATATTTTTTAAGTAGTTAAAAAAAATCTAAGCCTTGGCTCAAGGTGTCAGAAGGAGGGCATTGAGGTCTAAGTTCAGTTCCCTGTCTGTCTCCTATCTCTGCTATAAAAATGCTCAAACTATTTTACCTACAATATCTTATTTGAGAGACTGGCTGCCTTTACACAGGCAGGGCATACAAGGAGGCAGAGACATGAGGATCCCTGAGACTCATAAGCCCCCAGCCTAGCTAGCTGGTGAGCTCCAGGTTTAGTGAGAGACACTGACTATAAACAATAAGGTGGAAAGTAATTAAGAAAGATACCTAAGCCTGACCTCTCACCTCCATGGGCAGCTCACACATGTGCGTGTGCATCTGTATGCACACCTGTACACACTCACCTGTATGTATACACAATCGAAAACAAACAAAAAATACTTGGGTAGTTTGATCTAGGGTTCATGTTCCTAATCCACTGAGGGGACACTGAAGTCAGTGGCAGCCATCAATCCCAGGGCCAGGTGCTCTGAACAGCACACTGCCTCTTTCCAGAGCTGGGACTGGCCTGGGTGCCTAAATACCAAGAGGTAGTTATTCCCACTTTGGTAATTCCAGGTCTTAATAAATTGAAAACAGGAAAGAGCCAGAGATGCTTAAGAGGGGACAATAACCTTATGAGGACGCTTAGTGCTCCCAGCGGTGTGACGACTGTTGCAGGTGCAAATGCATAAGCCCCAAAATTGGCAACTTCTCCAGCAGACACTAGGAAATTAGAGAAAAGAGGCCAGTGTGACGCCAAGGCACCATGTCCATTCCTGACGCATCTGGGCAGAGATGATTTCAGTCAGTATTAACTGTACGTAGAACCCAAGACCAGCACTCCTTAACATCCCATCCTTGTTGGGCATGGTAGAGTATGCCTTTAATCCTAACACTCAAGAAGCAGAGGCAGGCAGATCTCTGAGAGATAGAGGTCAGCCTGGTCTGCATACTGAGTTCCGGGCCATCTGGGACTACAGAACTACAGGGAGACCCTGTCTCAAAAAAGAAAAAAAAAGAAAGAAAAAGAAAAGGAGAAAGAAAGAAAGAAAGAAAGAAAGAAAGAGAGAGAGAGAGAGAGAGAGAAAGAAAGAAAGAAAGAAAGAAAGAAAGAAAGAAAGAAAGAAAGAAAGAAAGAAAGAAAGAAAGATCCCATATCTCCTAGGAGACAGGTCAGACCCAGACCGTCTTGGGAAAATTCTCCCACTGTAAAGGTGGCAAGGGACATGTGAAGTGACATGACAACAGTACCATGAGGAGCCATCATGTTCTGCATGTCCCTTAGTTTCTAGTTCACACACAGTTAAGAGTGTCTCATGGACTGCCAATATTCTGGTCTACATCTTTAAGGTAATTTCTAGAAAGTTAGTTATCAAATAAACAGTTAAAATTATGAATTCTTTGAGTACCACTAGGTCCATGGACTCCTTTTCTTTTTAAAAATATTTTATTTTTATTTTTTATGTGTATGAGTTTATTGACTGCATGTGTGTAAGTGCATCCATGTTATGCAATGCCTGAGGAGGTCAGAAGAAGGCATCGGATTCTCTGGAACTGGAATTATGGACAGTTGTTAGCTGCCATGTGGGTGCTGGGAATTGAACCCAGGTCCTCTGCAGGCGCAGTCAATGCTCTCAACTGCTGACATCTTTTCAGCCCAACCACTTGGTCCCTGGACTTCTTTTGCCTAGCATAACTGTGGGCATTCTAAACTATCAAGCAGGTTAGAAAAGACTGAATTACCAAAGAGCCAAAATTCTTCCATCCAAGCTTCCAGTCCACCCAGGTCTACAAGTGCCTTTCCATCTTTTTGCTGTAGAGAGCAGCCAGAACCTCCTGTTTGAAGGCAGATGGCCACTGGACTAGCTCTGCCCAGGATAAAGATCACCACACCCACCTGGAAGACTATACATAGAAAGTATTAATTTCTACCTAAAAGAATTGGGCTTTGGGGCTAGGAAGGTGGTTCCATGGATAAGAGTACTTCCCATGCAAGCAAGAGGACCTGAGCTTAAATCCCCAAGACCCACATAAAAGCCAGACATGGCTGTGTGTTCCTGAGGACCTAGCACTGGTGAATGGAGACCCATGGATCCTGGAAACTCACTGGCCAGCCAGCTTAGCTAAAATGGCAAGCTTTAGATTTAGTGAGAGACCCTGTCTCAAAAACTAGAGAGATGGAGGAAGAGATCTGATGTCCTCCTGAGGTCTCTGCATGCTTGCTCACAGGGACATGCACTCCCCACTTGTGCACACAACACACACACGCACACACACACACACGCACACGCACACACAATAATAATAATAATAATAATAAATACAATTTTAAAATTGGGTTTTGATACCCAGAGAGAGTGGGTCGACAATGTTGGAAATCTGTGAGTGTACACATCTGGGCAAAGTGGCAGAGCAGCCATGTTCTCTAAGTGGTTCAACCAATTAATTGTCATGGTATAGGAACACTGTCTTAGGATCCCAGAGTCTACCATGAGGAGGCCCTGGAGGCAAGTGTGCTGCCAAGAGGCAGTGATGTCAGTGCCTTGTATCGGAAAGAATATGCCTGCATCATTTTTTTTAAACAGGGTCTGATATATTCCATGTCAGTCTTGAACTTGATATGTAAGTGAGGGGTGGCCTTGAACTTCTCTTTTCCCATCTCTGGAGTGCTGGGATTTCAGGCATGTTCCATCATGTCTGTTTTTTGTGATGCTTGGAGTCAAACCAGGGCTTTGCGCATGTTAGAAAAGTACTTTATCAACTGAGTTACTATACCCACACCTTTAACTTCATGGAAGAGACCTCACTTAGGATTGAAAAGTGATCTGAGATGAGAGTAAGATGCCTAAACTGACATGGTTTCCCTGAAGAAGCTGGCCTTGGGTTCTCAGTTTCAATACCAGAGACAGAACCATCCCATCTGTCCCTCCCTTCATCTCCACCCCAGCTCTGAGGGGGTCAACTGTTCTTAATAGCAAAAGAACCACTTACTGGTGGCAAATCCAACCCACCACATCGGGTCCTTCAGGTAGCCATAGCCTCCGTCCACTGTAGAAGGAAACGGGCACAAAGTTAGAATTTGGCCACACTTTCCCAAGCTCTGCTTTGACTCCCTGGTGTGTAAATGTTTCCTGGGACTTGATTCTTGGCATCTATATGCAGTACCCCATTTCCTATCTGTGGCATGGACCTGTCTTCTGGGTCCAGCTGTGTATCTGATTATTTACTTGACATCTCTTAGATCTCTCACAGACATCCTAATTTCTACCCTAACCAGAATTCTTGGCATTCATTGATCCTCCGCTACCTGCTAAATGAAACAGTAAATGGCACCTCTAGAAACCAGGGTCCTTCTCTGCCCTCTTGCATCCAGTCTGTCTGGCTGATTCTGTCACTAAAAAGTGCTCGTGTGTGTCCTCCCGCCGTCGTCATTTCTGGCCAGGAGGAGGCAGTGGCTTCACTAGTGGTCACTCTGATTCTCTTCTTGTCCCTGCCACAATTCCCTTCTTTCACTGCAGCCAGGGGTCTTTTAAAAATGTAACTCAGAGGGGCTGGAGAGATGGTTCAGTGGTTAAGAGCATTGACTGCTCTTGCAGAGGACCCAGGTTCGATTCCCAGCACCCACATGGCAGCTAGGAACCGTCCTTGACTCCAGTTCCAGGAGAATCCGATGCCCTCTTCTGACCTCTGTGGCACTGTATGACATGGGTGCACTTACATACAGGCAGGCAATACACTCATATGAATAAAATAAAAATTATATATATAAATGTAACTCAGATGGCAACACTTTTCAATGCATAGCTGTCCCATGGCTTCCAGTTACTCTAAGGCTAAAGACCCGAATCCTTACCAAGATCAGGCATAGCCTTGGTCTGCTCATCTCTCCAAACGCCCCTGCTGCCACTCTTCTCTCTTTGAATTCTTCAAGGATGATTCGCTGTTTCCTGCCCCAAGGCCTTTGCCTACATTTTTCCCTATATCCAGAATGTTCTTCCTATAGTGTTTACCTGAATCACATGCACTCTATGCATCTCTGTTGCTTCCCCTACGATGCCCTCTCTGGCTTCTCAATTCCATTCAGTCCCCATGAGTTTCTCTCTCTTTTTCTTTTTTTTAAGTTTTATTTCATGTATATGAGTGTATTGCCTGCATTATGTAAGTGCATCAGTGTCATGCAGTGCCCATGGAGGACAGAAGAGGGCGTCAGATCCCCTGGAACTGGAGTTATGGATGGCTGTTAGCCGCCATGTGGGTACTGGAATTAGAACCTGGGTCTTCTGCAAGAACAGCCATTGCTCTTAATTGCTGAGCTGTGTCTCCAACCCTGCCCATGGAGGACAGAAGAGGGCGTCAGATCCCCTGGAACTGGAGTTATGGGTGGCTGTTAGCCGCCATGTGGGTACTGGAATTCGAACCTGGGTCTTCTGCAAGAACAGCCATTGCTCTTGATTGCTGAGCTGTGTCTCCAACCCCGAGATTCTGTTTCATAACACCCAGCCCTTCTCCTTCATGGTTCCTATCACTTAAAATTGTAGTTGATCTGCTCATCTTCTGATGAGAACTGGGTATGTTCAGAGGCCAGAACATATCCGGTGCTCAACGGCAACAACAGTTGTAAAGATAGAGGTGGCAGTAGGTGTCTGAAGGGACTGAGATGGTTCTGCGAATGCCTGTTTTTCTTTTGAGTCAGGTCTATAAAGGACTCAGAATCTTCTTCCAATGCTAAAAGCGTTCTGTTCTAAGAGTTGGAATCTCAGAAGACCCTGAAATATCAGATTGGGGGGAAAAACGGATCCTACTGAAGTTATCCTTCCGTTAGCCACTGAACACAAGCAGACGTTTTTTCAGCACTTTGGGAGGTCACCGGCCTTCCCAACACTTGTCTAGACGGAAGGAAGAGCAGCAGCGGCCTGCCAGCCTTCTCCTTGCATCTCTCTGTGATCTCCATTTCTTTTCTTGCTTTTTGTTTGGTTTTGGTTTGGCTTTCAGTTTTGTTTGTTTGTTTTTTGTTTTGAGACAGACTCTTATAGCCCAGGCTGGCCTTGAACTCCCTATATAGCTAATAACCTTGAACTTCAATCCTCCTGCTTTTACCTCCCACAGACTGGGATTACAGGCCTGCATTACCACACCTGATTTTATATGGTGGTAGGGATCTAACCCAGGGCCTTATACATGCTAGGCATGCCCTCTGACAACTGAGCTACGTGCCCAGCTCCATTTTCCATTTTTGAGTACACATGGGCTCTACTAGACCCTCCTATTTAGGTAACATTGATACAAATGCCAGTGTTTATTCCACGTCCCAAGTATCTTTCTAAACAGGTTATAGCTGAGCTAGTCAAAAAACCCCACATCCAAAATATCTTAAAATCTCAAACATTTTGGATGCTGAAATAACCCCTCAAGTGGAAAATTCTATACCATAAACTTGGTTTCATGCATAAAATTATTAATCAGCCATGTAAAATTACCTTCAGATGCTGCGTGAAAGTTATGTAAGAAACATAATGAATTTCATATTCAGGTTTGAGCTCCATTCCCAGGCTACCTCATTATGTACCTGCAAATATCCCCAGATCTGAAAACAAACCTGAAACCCCAAGCACTGTTGGTTCTAAGTGTTTTGTGTAAGACATAACTTGTACGTGAATGGCCCGTGCAACTGATAATTATTTTTCTTCCTCTTTCTTATTCTGGCAGAGCTGGGGACCAAACCCAGGACCTTGTACATGCTAGACAGACATTCTACCACTGAGTCATTACACCCCCAGCCCCTTGGTTATTTTTTATTTTTATTTATTTTATTTATTTATTTATTTTTGAAGCAGGATCTTTGTATATAGGTTAGGCTGCCTGGAACTCACTATGAACATGTGATCCCCCTGCCTCCACCTCTGCCGGAATGACATGCATCATTCCTGGAAAACTGACATTCTTATGTCTATTTTATAAAATGATGAATCTGAAGTACGTAAAAGAATATTTTTCTTGCCTAGAATCCCACTGCCAGGAATTGAGAAGCCAGAATTGAAATTGTAAAGTTCTGCTTCCAAAGTGTGGGAACAGCCATTGAACAGGCCCAAACTTGAATGTGTCAGTCATCGTCCCCAAACCTGTTCCTCCCCTGCATTCATAGCCAAATACAGCACCATCATCTTCCCAGTTGCTCAAGTCAGAAACCTGAGTCATCCTTGACTCCTCTCTACCCTCCCCTTGCAGCCAGAAAACTACAAGGCTGGCGAGTTCCACCTCCCCAAGCCATCTGTGGAATCCACCACTAATCTCCTTCCGCAGTGCAGAAGTTCCATTTTCCTGCTCATACCATTGGTCTCCCCACTTAAACCATCCTCTACCCAGCAACCAGGGAACTTTTCAAAGCTGTCACACTCCTACCTAAAACATCACAGTCAGTCACTTAACAATTGCACTCAACTCTGCAGCCCAGTTTATGAGACCCTTCCCGGCAGGCTCTTACCTCTTGCATGCTCTGGTCATTCTGAATTGCTTTCAGTTCCTAATCCAGATCATACTCTTACCTCTGAACCTTTGCACATGCTGATCCTCCTACCAGTAATGCTTGTCCTCCTCATTCCCCTTTTCCCCTGCTATTCAAATTTGTGTCTCAGTCTAAGAATCAACTTTTAGAGAAAAGTTTCCCTCTGTACCCCCAAATCTGAGCTTTGTATGCCCCTTGAAAATATTCCCTCAATGAGTGGGCATGGATTTGATCAAAATACCTTAT